GTACAGTTTTGAAAAAAAAATGGTAAAATTTTCAGTGATGTTAAAAAAAATTTTTCATCCTTTATATTTCTTCATTTGAAATCTAAATGAAAGAGAAATGCTAAATTCTATTTGATTTTGGGTAAAGCTGCGTAAAGAAAGTGATGATTCTCGGACTGATCATGTTTTTTTTACAGCACTTTATTGTTATAATATTTTCTAACTATAATTATGAAACAATTTCGCCACATAAATTTCTCCTGCTTATTAGTTATACAATAGAAGATGACCCATTAGAGTAAGATCTCCTTTCCTTCTAGTAATTTTGTAGATGATTTTATATGTGTGACCTACCAAGACCAATGGGAGTGAAGAACCGATTTGTAATAATTATTTGTTTTCTATCTCTCGCAACCTCTTACCCACGCAGCTGAGTGTACAACAAACCTCCACTCATGACAATATTATGTCAGATGGCATCACGCTAATTTTTTTAAGCTAAAATATTATTTAAAAATCAAATCAATCAAAAATATAGTTACCAAGGAAAAACAGGTAACACCATCGATACAAATAACTTCTAACATTGCCTAAAAAATTAACTAAAAGTCATAATTCGAGTCTGTTGTGTCGCTACAAAGGCGATAAATCACTACATCGGGCAACACTGCTTCCACGCATTTTTGATGTGAGTTGGTTTGCCTCCGTGTATTTATGAGTAACGGGAAAAACAATTTCAGAAAAATAATAATGGCAGTGTTTTATTTACCTGAGATTTCATTTAATTTCAGCTAATTGATCAATTACGATAACGGAGATTAAGTGAGATCTCAGGTAAATAAAAGTAATAAAACAGGGCTAATAGTATAAGGTTTTGAAATTGCATTATTACCAAGACAACGTGAGGTATAATTAAAAATAGTATAAACAGGTGCTTTTGACATTAAGAATAATTTCAAATCTTTGACACAATCATGGAAAAGTATAATTACAATTCTATTTACTACCAGTAAAATGAGATAATGATAATAACAAGAACTTTTCTTTAATCTTAAGTACATAGTAATCTGTTCTTTACTCTCTGTGAGATTACTATTGGAAATCTCTGGTTTATTCTGTCATTTGCGTCTTGTTTTTCGCGGAACTCTAATTTGATGTTCTCGTCCTAGGAAATAAGCACGGCACGTCTTTGTTGGGAAAATAATTAAGCAAACGTTGCATTCCAGTAAAGTTTGTTATCTTTTTTGGATCTTAACAAAACAAACAAATTAAATTTCGAGTTGCTAATGCGTTGCTTTGTTTATCACCTATTCTCAGTAAATCAAGTTATGGTCGTCTGTTGAATTCGTTTAGGAAAATTAAGTGTTTCGTTTTCGAGAAATACTTTGTGTCTGCATGGACATTTTTTAAGGATTTTAATACAATTACTTAAACTCTGTTAGAAAGATTTTTTTAATGAATGCGTTTCTATTAATAAAAATTCTCTTCGTTCTTCTATAAAAAAAAATTGTAAAATACATAGTTAATACCTAACAAGATTAATTAATAATTCTTATTCACATTAATGAAAAATGTCATATACAGGGTGTCCCACGGTGACGAGACATTAGACATATTTCATGGCGTCCACCTAACGCTTCCGGTTATAACGGAAGTTGACGTCATCTTCGTTATTTTAAATGGAACATTATTGCAATTCTACGTCAATTTTTAGGTGAACTTTCATGAAAGTTTCCTATTCTTAAAGTTAACCGTTTTTGATATATTTAATTTTTTTCAAAAAAAATTTAAGAAGCACTGCCTAATTCAAAAATATGTGTATTTTACAATAATAAAGTTAGAGCGATAAAATTTATAGGGGACATAACTAAAACTCTAAGCTTCCCTGCAATAATTTCAAAATAACTTAATTTCATAGAGGGTGGTAGAAATTTAATGCCGAATTTTGTCAACTTTAAACCATCTTAACTTATTTTTTAAATCGAATACCCTATATATTTTTGCGCAGCCTGATGAACAATTTTATTCTGTTTCGAATGGTATAATGGTTCCCTATACCTATCTCTTTTGGTTTTTAATGAATTTACTGTTTTTCGTGCAGTCAACGGATATCGCACAATTTCTACGAGGATGATTGTGAAATTTTTAGTGGAACTTCAAAACAAGCACCTAATCTGTCACCAGTTTATTGTTGTCAATTTAACACATACAGTGATTGTTTATTTGACTATTATTTATTGTTAAAGATGATGGTCGTACGTAATGTTACGAATAGTTTTTACGGTTCAAAAATAATCGTCAGTCAATTGAAAATGATCCTCGACCAGGAAGGACTTTCACTGAAGATTCCCACGTTAAGAAAGTCAATCAAGTGCAAATGTTATTTAATTTACACCAATAAATGTTGTCTTTTCTTAATATTTTTAGTTGTAAAACACATTTCGTAAAAAATTTTAGATTTTTTAGACTTTTTTGCACTTATGAATATTATTTTATTCGATATTACTGCTTTATGTTAATTTTAATTGTTTTTCAATGTGTACTGTACTTGTCGTATACAAATAAATAAAATTAAAACCATTCAAAACAAACCTTATAATCTTAAGAAATTCCGAAATATAGTTAAACAGTATCCTATTTAAGAACAAAAGTTTATTTTGCGTTGTTTTTATTTTCCCCTTCATGAAAATTTGTACAACTTTTACATTTAACATTTCTCTATTTCTAAAATAACAGTTGAAAGAGGAAGTGCAAAATGTTGGAAAACACACCCGTACGAATATTTCTTATATGAGTTATATTAGCCTGTAATGTCGGCGTCATATATCTGGCTGCACAAATTTCGATTAAAGCTATAATTAATGCGAAAAAAGTTTCTAATGTCAAAGATTCACATATCCGAATTTCGATTAAGTGAAATGGAAACTGGTGAAAAAAGTTTAATTCAAATCATCTCTTTAATAAATATCTGTCGTATTGAAAATAAAATGACATTGGAAAATGTCAAGAGATGACATGAATTAGATTACTGTGAAACAATAAGAATGATATTAAAATGAATATTAAAATTTTTTTGCAAATTTAAAAGTTGAAATGGAAAGTGTAGATTTAAATGGTATTACAAATGTCTATTCAATTATTTTACTTTTTTCCTTCCTAAGCCATAATCGGAGTTCTCAAAGTTTAAAATGATCCACATCGGGGTTATACTAAGACGGGATTTTAAGAATTTATGATTATTACATTTTGTATAACATATTTAATATTTTAAAATAAATCATATACCTAATAAAATGCGAAAAATAAAATGTGGGAGAAATTTGATTCGGAAATATCCCCGCCAGCGTCCTAATATATTTTCTGGAAGGGAAATAACCCGGCGCCATTATTATCATTTCCTGGACGGAGACCGGAAGAGAGCGATTATTACATTTGGACCCGGAATTCGGCCTACTCCTAGCCGTAAAGCAAACTTTTGGGCCGACATTTGGTTATCAATGAAATTTCGTATGGGCGAAGTTCGCCGTTTATTACGCAGGGAATGCAATCGCTCCTTTTCACGGAATTTTGACTTCATAAAACTGAACTTCGAACTTAATTTTGATAATTGCTTGTACAGGGGTCCGTAACATTTTCGTTTTTAAGTGGCACGGACGAGGAGGTGTTTGAATGAAGTTTGGCTGGTAACAATTTGTAAAATCTAACGTTAAGGAAATATAAATTCGGGGAGGTGCTTTTGAACAAAGTATTATTATAATCGTATATACGGGAATTACCAATTTTCATATTTTGTATTGAAGTTCTAAGATATATATATATATATAATTCAATTAAGTCTCACTTTCGATAGATTTGAGTAGAAGAATTTACGTTTTTGCTATCAGGAGCATAGAAGAGATAAGAGGAACTTTAACTTCTTGCAAGAATGTTTGAACATTTAATAAGTGTTATTATACAAAGTTTTATCATTAAAGTGGAGAAATTTGTAGTATACGTGAAGAGGTGATTGAGCAAAATTTATTATCCTTTGGATATCTAATTTGTATCTACAAAAAAATGTAGCATACAGTTCGTTTAATATAACTTTGGTAATATCGATTATTATACAATAATATGTAGGTATTTCATTTGTTGAACAAAAATTAGCTTGTCATATTTTTGAATATACTCCTCTTTCTTTGCAACGCAATAACAATCTTTGTGTCTCAAATGTTATTTCAAACTGTAGACGAGTTTTGAATATACTATTACAAACCAAAAAGTAAGAGACATGGAAACATCATCTCAAACGTATAGTTCTCATATTAAAAAGTTCAAGATTCACGTCTTCATTGTAAAAATTACACTATACAAGTAAATAAAATGAATTTACAAGAGTTCCTCTTTTTGATTTACTCCATGTGCAACTGTTACAAACCTTAAAGGTACACTATGATCACCGTTATACTGCAATCGAATTGGAGTTTAAACGAAAATATATATATATANCAATGAATAATAGATTAAATGAAAAATGAAAGAAAAATGGACGAAGGTAAAGTTGAATAAACAACGAGAAGGATCATTATTCGAGATTGATTCAAAATTTAGTGCAAACATATAGGTGATTTCAGGGCTCCAACCATGTATGGGAGGCCCCAGTAGATTATAATGTAATTGCACTTCATGATGGGGAAGGGTATGTAGAACGGTAATATCAAAAAACTAACTCGAAAGAAGTAACGCTGAGTTGGCTAATTGCAAATAAGTGGCAAAATTACATATTTTATTCACTTTTTTTACTGCCCATGAAAATCTAGGCGACGTAACTGAAAATTAGTTATTTTATGTACTAGGCAATTAAATTACTTACAATGTTAGGTACCTAGAGCAATATTTCACCAATTTAATAACTGTAAAATAAAGATCAAACGCGGAAAAATCAGTATTCGAAATTAGCGCATTATTATTGTAAAAATCGATGGATGTTAATTAAATGTATGGAAAAGACGGTCAATCAAATGACCAACATGTGTGTGGAGTAACAAATACCTGGAAGGAAGAAATTATAAGTTCTCTGGAGACCACTTGTCGTCGTCTGTCAGCAGACTTAAAGAGCTTCAGAAGAATGAATCAATAACAATACTGCCTGCCGCCAAGGGGAACGCAACAGTCGTACTGAGCACCGTTGACTACATCGCCAAGGAAGAGAACCTATTGTTGGATCCCATTTACAAGAACATCCGAAACAACCGAATCAAGAATGCTGAGAAGAAGGTAGCCGCTGCAGTCTGAATCTCAAACATACCCAAGGAACTTCACAGGACTTTGATCCAAACCGACTCAAGAACACCTCAGCTATACTGCTTGCCAAAGATTCACCAAATATCCCTCTTCTACCGACAGTGAGTGCAGTTGGATCAGCAACACACCCTCTGGTCCGATACATCGCACAGGAAAAAAGGGACTTAGTAGGGGGGGCAGAGCATCACGTCAAAAACGCCAGAGACTTTATCGACAGGATTCGAGAAATTGAACTCCAACCAGGAAATATCCTAGTGAGCTTCGATGTTACATCCCTATTTACAAAAGTACCCGTCGACGAAGCCTTGGAGGAACTGCATCGAAGACTAATCGCAGAGGACAAGGATGAGAGCCTAATGAATTTGGCGAAAGTGTGCATAAAATCGACCTTCTTTGCATTCCGGGACGAATTCTACGAACAGACGAAGGGAGCAGCAATGGGTTCAGCGTTATATACAGTCCTGGCCAATATATACATGGAAGCCTTTGAGAACAAAGCCCTGGAATCCACAACGTTGAAGCCTAAGTGCTGGCACCTATATATTGACGACAACTACATCATCTTGCCTCACGGACGCAACACTGTAGTGGATTTCCTGGATCACATCAATGGGATACATCCAGATATCCAGTTTATCATGGAAGTAGAGAAAAAGGCCTCCCTTCTCTTCTTGGATTTTTTGGTTGAGAGGAAATCAGATGGCACTTTAGGACATCGAGTATATAGGAAGCCAACTCACACAGACATATATCTGAATGCGGAGTCCCACCACTAGAGATGTCGAAAAAGTATCAATTCGTTACATGATTACCTACTCGTTACTCGATTGGATCCGAAGTAACGATTACTCGTTTGAAAAAGTATTTGTTACTTTTGCTTATTTGATTACTTCTTGGATATAGACAATACGTTATCTAATGGAATATGAATACTTATGCAATGCTCACTTGACACTTATATATATTATATCGATACGAAACGAGTACTTGTACGTTGCCATACAATTTTATTTGTTTTGTGTACCATATTTTTATACCTACTTATATTAGAAAAAATCTTTCCTATAAAAGACTTGAAACATGCATAAGAGTGTATATAATACATAATCTAAAAAATATGTAGTTTCTATTTTTGATTATTTTAAAACTTATTGTTTATTTTCGAAATATATATTTATATTCGTAATTTGATCGTTGCATTTCTTTTTTTAAGAGGAATTGAGGTTAGATTATATTCATAATATGATGCGGTTTGATATTTACTCGTCTATAACTTACAGTACTGTATATCAATTAGGTAACTACTGATTACTATTCTATTTAGAATATTTTGAAGTCACTACTCATAGTAATCAAAGTAACGAATACAAATTGCCGATTACTTAAACCGAAAGTAATCGGTACTCTTGATTACTCAACAGTAATCATATTTGACATCTCTACCCACCACCACCCAGCCCAGAAAGAGCGGATCATAAATACCTTGATTCATCGAACGCGGATCATCAGCGAGCCAAGACACTTGGCCGAGGAACTAGAACACCTACGCACGGCCCTAACAGGGAATGGCTACATGGCGAGAAATATCGAACGAACTATCAGGCGGAGACATACGCCCATGGAGAAACAGGAGTACTTAGCGACCTTACGTGAAATGTTGTACAGATAAAATCGGGCATTTTTTGCAGAAGAGGAATATCAAGACAGTATTCAGCACTGTAAAGAAGGTGGCGGCAGCGATTCCAAAGACCTGTAACAACGACCAGCTCCAGGCCCCCGGTGTGTACAATACAGTATTCCTTGCTCTTGTGGAAAGGTCTACATAGGACAAACAGGAAGGCACATCAACACGAGATTAAAGGAACACAAAAGTCACCTAAAAATTAACAACTGGGATAAATCGGCGGTATAAGAGCATAGGGTGAACACGGGACACACAGTGGATCTGAGTGAACTCAACGTGGTGATGAGAGAGAGAGAGAGAGAGAAGATTTTGGCTCCGACTATACAGAGAAGCATTAGAAATTTACAAAAATCCGAACAATTTCAACAGGGGTAGTAGAAGAGAGTCATCCGTGAAATCAACCCACTGAAACGTCAGCAACGCGTACGTATCAAATATAAATAGTGACAAGTAGTAACAAGATTAGTAGATCTAGTTTCAGAGTAACTTCTGATGAAGAGAGCGATATGTCTCTCGAAACGTCAAGAGTTGTAAATCGACGAGGTGGCAACCAGCTCGAAAATCATTCAACTAAACACCTGGAGCAACAATTTCACGATCAATAGAATCAGTGTTTGGCAGACATGTTAGTCATTGGATTGACCGTCTTTTCCATAAATTTCAGCGACATCCATCGGTTTATGCAATAATACTGATTTTTTCGCGTTCGACCTTTATTTTACAATTAATAAATTAGTGAAATATCACTTTAGGTACTTTAAATTGTAGGCAATTTAATTGCCTACAGCATAAAATAAAATTGATTTTCCTATAGGTCGCCTAGATTTTCATGGGCAGTAAAGAAGTGAAAAAACACGTAATCTACCCTTCTCGTAAAGTGCAATAAAATGTCTATTAATATATTTTTTAATTTTTAATGGTTTATGATCTAATTCGACTAGACTTTTAACACATCACCCTATTGTATTTAATTGTATGATCTATGCTCTGTTGCCGTAAAAAAACCTCTAAACTGTGGAGGTGGACCACAATCAAAACCGGTTTTTTCTCACATCGAAGACGTTCCACCGGAAATCGAGGCTAACGGTGCTTAGTTCAACAAAACGACGTCCATTCCAAACCGTTCTGCGGCAATACAATATAAAATCGAATGCGCAGTCTTGGGCCCTCGCAAAATAAAGAGCCAATTACGGATTTCAGTCGATGTCGCCGGCCGCAGGCAGCGTATGGCGGCGATAATTGTCCGGCTATTTTGTTAATGGGAAGTGGTTCCGAACATCTGATTATTAAATGTCACTGGCCATTCGCGCCGTCATTATCGCAGTTGTCGGATTGCGTTTACGAGTGCCAAACAATAGAATATGGGCGGGTAATGAATTCACAATCGGAAATATGGATTTCGAAATAATCCAATCGGGATTGGTGTATAAAGCAATTTATTTTTGACGTAATTCAATTATTTTACTGGTGCTTAGACACTATTAATGAAAGAAGGATTAACAGTCCAATGAATTAAAATGTATCTACCAATGAATAATAGATTAAATGAAAAATGAAAGAAAAATGGACGAAGGTAAAGTTGAATAAACAACGAGAAGGATCATTATTCGAGATTGATTCAAAATTTAGTGCAAACATATAGGTGATTTCAGGGCTCCAACCATGTATGGGAGGCCCCTTTGGTCAGGGAAGTCAAATACTTGGGGGTAATCTTGGACAGCAAACTGTCGTGGGGGCCACAGGTTGAGAGGATTACCCGGAAATCAGTGGCAACCCTCTGGCAGTTAAGGAAGGTAGTTGGCAAAAACTGGGGACTCAATTCAACGGTGCTTCACTGGGTGTACACGGCGGTGGTCAGGCCGAGGCTATAGTATGGGGCCTTGGTCTGGTGGCCGTGTGTGGACCGGGTGACGGTAGCCAGGAAGTTGGTGAGAATCCAGAGACTTGCCTGCTTAGGTATTACAGGGGCAATGAGGACGACCCTTCCTACATGGATTATGAAGGAGGCGATGGAGGCATACCTTAGGATAAGGGACGCCGGCGGTTGGAGAGCTAAAGGACGCACTGAGGGCCATGCTGCCGTGGCCCTCAGGGCGGAGAGGGACATCCCAATATCCGCCATGAGGGTTACGGAAGCGGAGGACCGGCTTAGGTTAGGAAGGAAGTATGTCACCACTTTCCCCTCGAGAGAGCAGTGGAAGCAGGATGGTGATATGTTCTCCCCGGGATCCCTAGTGTGTTATACTGATGGGTCTCGGGTAGAAGACGAGTTTTCAGGAGCAGGAATTTATCTGGAAGGCAGCGGCATCCAGGAAATCTTTTCACTGGGTATGTATGCTACAGTCTTCCAGGCTGAGGTTTTTGCTATTTTGATGGTAGCAAGCAAGGAGGAGGTAAGGAATTGTGCAGAGGAGAAGATTTTTATCTGCTCCGACAGTCAGGCCGCGCTCAGAGCGGTTAGCTCCCCGATGACTAGGTCTGCCCTTGTCCAAGAATGTGGAGACGCTCTAGAGTCATTGGCCAGACGAAAAGAAGTAGAGTCTTTTTGGGTCCCAGGTCATAGAGACATCCCTGGTAACGAGAGGGCGGATCAATTAGCTCGTCTTGGGTCCAGAGGACCTGGACAGGGACCTGAACCAATCTTGGGTATCACACGAGGCAGCATTAATGGGGCCCTCAATAAGTGGGCCTATCAAACTTTAGGTCTGGATTGGAGGAGAAATAGAGGATGCAGACAGGCCCATAGTTTTATGGACCTAGCAAATCCAAGACAAGATGGCTGCTGAGTCTCAGTCGAAGAGCCCTAAACCAAATGGTGGGGGTTCTTGGGGGTTCTGACAGGCCACTGCAGACTTAGGAGGCATTTAAGCTTAATAGGAATTGAGGAGGACCCTCTATGCCCGAAATGTGGCTAAGGGGAGGACACCCCTGTCTACCTTCTGGGACAGTGTGCAGCCTTTGGGAGAATAAGACATAAAGTCTTTGGTGCTGTAGAGCTGCAAGGGGTTGAGGTGAGAGACCTTCCATGGACCAAAATCCTGGCGTTCATTAGGGCGTCGGGTAGGTTCGAGGAGGGTCAGAGGCAGAGAGTGGTTAGGTGATGGAACGGCGGGGTAGGCAAAAAAGGCCCACTTGTGGCCTAATTGCCAGGCTGAGGCCGCCCCTTTACTACTACTACTACTACTACTACTACTAGTGCAAACAGAATGAAAAAATGAATAAATGAAACCATACCACATCACCCTTTTGTTTTCCGCAGCTCAGTAACCTCCTACTCTCCGAAGCACCAAAATCTGCTACAGCTTTACATTTATGGGTTTCACTTTTGATGCGATCCTACAAAGGATCCGTCTGCAATTCTGATGTACCTGAAATCTCTGATAACAATTGTGAGTCAAGACAGTGGACTAACAGGGATAAAAATGCAATCTGCAGACTGTAATAATCGGTACAATTGTTTTTCATCATGTCTCCTTTTGTATCGCTCTAGAGGATTCCTTTTTTTCATATGTATATTTCTTTCCGACATTGAATAGTAATTTGCTTTTATATTTTCTTGATGGATAGTAATATTAAGTAGTATCAAGGTAAATGGGATATCATAACATTGGATGATGTAAGAAATATACGTATGAAAAAAAAATGGAGAAAAGGAATCCTCTACATAGGTCGGTGAAGATAAAAGGGAAAAGAATAATTAAAAACAACTGTATTGATTTACTACATCTGTGGTTTTATAACAAAAAACGATCTTCTCGCAAACGTTGATTAGGTCTTCGAACACCTCATGAATGTAATGCGTCGACTCCTTTATAGAGCTTAGCTCAAGTAGGCACTCAATAAATGTGGAATTTCAGCCAAAAGGTTGTTTTCTGACATTTTTGCAGTCCAGGTGGTCGGTTGAGCCTGAATATTCAAAATATGTAATGAGCCTCAGGAATATGACACGTCGATACATTTTCAGTTTTGTACGCAAGAGAAATCTAGTGCGTGACTGCTTTTTGAGTTTCAGGAGTGGTTTTCGCCAATTAAAAAAAGCAGGGGGATCCGCAACAGATTCGGCTTCTGGGTATCAAAACACTCGTATGGTAGTAATAGTCTCATCCGTAAAATAAAGAGTGAATAAAGACTGTTAGATGATTTAATGAAGAGTGAATGAAGAATGAGCGAATGAACAGTAAAATTAATAAACCAATGAATAATAAATACTTACCTAAAGTTTTCATCGAAATCTTATCGGTCAATTAATGCTTTTTAAATATACATATGTCAAAGAAATAATAAGGATCTTCGGAATCTAATTTGATATTTCTAACTTTAAAACTGTTTTGCTTTATTAGATCCATGTAGAATATTTACAAATTCCGAACAAAAGTGTCCCCAAATAAATATTGTACTAAATAGTTACATTTTAATTTTTTTATTTGGTATCTTCTCTAAACATATTTAAGAAATTTCAAATCACGCTTATAATCACTTATCAAAGTTATCCATAGTGTTCCAAAATTTGGACAGATTTTATTTTTGGAGATAGTATACTGAGAACGAAACATTAGGAAAATACTGCAACAAGGAACATAATTGGGCACAATTTCAATTCGAAGAATTAAGTACCAAGGCAAGTATTCCTTAAAGCTTTTGTACCTTACTAGTAAACTACATAATGGTGTGAAACTGATTCGCTTGGCAGCTCTGTTTTTGTTGCAGGTTCTTTATATTTTATCTGTGAGTAGTGTTCTCTGTAAACACCTTCACTTTCATGGTAATTGCTCTAACAAAATCCTGAAATCAGTAACATTCTAATTGTTTGGAGAAAATATATTGAACAGCCATTTTTAACATTTAGGTAACTATTATTTCATTAGTAAATAAATGTTACTGTTATTGTTAATCTAAATCGCTATTTACGGACTAACGTAGCTTTTGTAATAAACAACAAAAAGGTATTTTATAAAAATCGATTCTTTTCCTTAAAGGAAAAAGTTGGTAAATCATAGTTTCCAAAATTTAAGAGGCCGTTTGTGGTTACGTCGGTTTATGGTTGCTGCATGACCACTATTTTCTTTACACCCTATACAGGGTGTTAATGAACTTATGTCAAATATTTGTGCTACATGTCTGTTATGTCAAAATGAGGTAAAT